AACAAATTTATTATCAACACCCACATAACAAAAGTCAACAATGTAACTCTTTTAAAGTGTTACGCAAATATGGAAAATTTGCAGATAAATCTTAATAAAATCTGTAGAACTTGTCTGAGGGAAAATGTGGAAACTAGAAGTATATTTGAGGAAATCAGAGTTGAAAATGAGTACTTGCATGTGCCTGAAATGTTGACCAAAATCGCTCTTGTACAGTGAGTAGTAAATAATAATTAGAACCATATTATTTAATTAGAACAAAGTCATGTTTATTTAAATTTATATTTGGTTATCTATGATTAGTGCTTTTTTGTTTGGTTATGCAATTTGTTGTAATTGAGAACTTATTTAACAATGATTGAGAGCATGGTTTTGTTTTGGTAGTAAAATTAAGTGAGGATTTTTAGGTTAGGACAAACAATGTGACAAAATATAAATTTACTTTAATGTAAATTAATTTGTGTACTTATGCTTTAAATTAAGAATGTCATGTCCTGTTGTATAGTATATTAAATTTATATGCAATTACTTTTCTAAATAGCTTTCTAAACTTTGAGGTTAGGGCACATGATGACAGGTGTTTTTGAAAAATTATTTTAGTCTAAATGAATTTTTATACCTAAAACGTTATTTGAGGCTAAATTACTTTAAACTAATAATGTTTCTACGTTTTTGTAAGTTTCAATTAAGTTTTTATATTTTATTAGTAAATATTTGTCAGTTAGGTTAGGTCATTAGTTGACCTTTTAAGATTTTTAATGAGTTTAAGTGCCTCTTTATGTTTTATTATATTATTTATTACAATTAAATGCAAATTTTTACAATTTAATGTAAATTTAATTACAAAATGTTTTTGGTAAGTTTCTATTAACATTTTATGCTTTATTGTTAAAATTTAGTGAATATTTTCAGGTTAGGGCACATTATGACAGGTGACCCCAAAAGACGTCTTTTTGAAAAATATTTTATTCCAAATGCATTTTTCTACATGTAGTGATAAATTACTTTAAATTAAGTGTCTTTTTACGTTCTGTTGTATAATTTATTAAAATTATGTCCATTTTTCTGTTCTGTTACCAAGTGACTATTTTGAGGTTAGGGCACATAATGACAGATGACCCATAAGAGGTCTTTTTAAAAATTTTTTTAATATAAATTTAAAAAAGATAAATTACTTTAATCTAATTGTTTTTTTACGTTTTTGTATGTTTCAATTGAGTTTTATTATAAAATTTAGTAAATATGTCAGTTAGGTTAGGTCATTATTTCACAGGTCAAGAATTTTGAAAATTATTTTAATATAAATGATTTTTCATACATGTAATGATAAATTACTATAAATTAAAGTGTTTTTCACGTTTTGTTGTATAATTTATAAAATTATGTCCATTTTTCTGTCTATTATCAAGTGGCTTTTTTGAGGTTAGGGCATACATGATGACAGGTGACCCCAAAAGAGGTGTTTTTGAAAAATTATTTTAATCTAAATTAGGTTTTATACTTCAAATTACTTTAAACTAAGTGCTTTTTTACGTTTTGTTGTTTAATTAATTTATTTATTTAAAATTTTGTGCATTTTTATGTTTCACTCTAAAAACAAAGTGAAGTGTTTTTAGGTTAGGTTAAGAATGACATGACAGGTGTTTAAAGATAAATTATTTTAAGTGCTTTTTATATTTTATTAAGGTTTTATTATGTCATTTATTACTAGTCAGTGCTAATATTACATTTTTGTAAGTTTTAATTAAGTTTTTATGATTTATTATAAAATTTAGTATTTATTTGTCAGTTAGGTTGGGTCATTGTCAGTTAGGTTAAGTCATGATCTTTTGTGATTTAAAGTGCATTTTTATGTTTTATTGTGCAATTTGTTTCGTTTAAATGCAAATTTAATTGTTACATCTTTTTTTATAAGTTTTATAATTAAGATTATTATGTATTATTATAAAATTTAGTGATTATTTGTCAGTTAGGTTAGGTCATTAGTTGTCAGTTAGGTTAGGTCATGATGTTTTGTGATTTTTATGTTTTATTGTGCAATTTATTGCAGTTAAGTGCAAATTTAATTCCAACATTTTCTTAATAAATTTTAATTAAGTTTTTTATATTTTATTGTTAAAATGTACTGAATATTTTTCGGTTGGGTGTAATGATAAATTTGTTACTTTGATCTTAGTGCACTTTTATGTTTTATCAAGCAATTTATTTCAATTAACAAGTTTAATTGCAACAGCTTCATTTAAGTTTTTTATGGTCATAGGATGAGTTTCTTCAAAGGATGATGATAAATAACTTTAATCGAAGTGAACTTTGTACCCAAACTTAAATCTC